ACAGAACTAGCACGAGCTGTTGACGTAATGATGGCGTGAGCAAAGAGAATTTACATTTTGATAATCAAAGCTAGCAAGTTGTTTTCCTCTTCTTTCGTCGCGGTGTTTTCTAAAAGAAATAGAAAACATGTTTTCCTTGTTTCTGTCGAATTATAGAAACACTCGTGAAAGTCTGGGAGAACTCGAAAAAGCCGTGGAAACACTCGCCTGCGGCCAGTGTTCCCACAGCATTTCTCGTTCTCCCAAACTTCCACTCGTGTTTCTATAACTCGATAGAAACACGGTACATGTTTTCTATTTCTTAAATACCATTGTGCATTAATTTTAAGTGGTTTTATTGTTAATAAGAAAGGTGGCAAAAGAATAAAGAACGTCTATTCCGTTACTATTTTATAATTAAATTAGTTCTTGTTTATCAGTGAAATGAAAATTAATTGATTAAATAACGATCCTCTTGCATACCCAGTTTGTGAGGAAACGAAAAGTATCAAGTTGAAAACGTTGGCGTGAAATGTAAAATTGTCACGTTTGTTAAAATGAACGAAAATCAACGTAAAACACCACGGTAAAGTTAAAAGTTGTCTCGACGAACGGTTGCTAAGTCTTTCTTGCACCTCGAATGAAAATACACAAATGAAACCTATACACTGCTAAGGTTATGTCTTATCAATGTTTCTGTCCGTTCATATTTTACAACGCTGGGGAAAACCCAAGGTAACTACCAAAGTCAATAGATACTGTGAGTGAACGGCAGGTACAAGGACCCGTGTAACTACCATTTATCAGAGCTGTACCTGGCACTCTACAGTATCCGAGATTGTCTCACTAGTTTTATATTAACTTGACCTACAGCTTAACAAGGAAGCATCATCAAAAAAACAAAACAAAAAGGCCGGACTGCGCCTTGCTCTTGGTAAGTATAAAACGTACTACAGCTGTAACACCAGAAATTGACTTCCATTGCATGGTTGGTGTCACAAATTTGAACATCTCTCACTGATATAGTTATTTGACAGTTCAGCTCACATGCTGATGAAGGACTTTTGAAAAGAACCTTGTGAAGTAAACAGTAGTAAAGAAACTTGTGCTGACTTTTTATTAGTTGTTACATTAGCAGCTTTAAATAAACTTACTGAGTTATCGCATCGATTCAGTTTTCAGGTGGGTGGGTTGGAGGCGCCATTGGACACTAAAAATGTCAGTGAACCCTAACCAAACGAAGAAATGCTGCTAGTTTTATGCCCGCCTTTTCTCCATTTCTTTGCTAAAATCGTTTTCTTCATTTACCAGGAACATGCGTTCATAAAAGGAAGAAACGCACAGAGCAACTTTGACACCAAACGTTGGGTAACAACTATTCTCCAAGAACAGGCGCAGCCCTGGAACAGTTAGTAGCAAATATAACTTCAACAAATCAATACGGTCAAACCTCCCTTAAGCGACCACTCTAAATGCCAAGCCTTTGTGGTCGCTTACTAGAGATGGTCACTAACAAGAGTGTAGACCACAATGGGTCTAGATTTTGAATTATTGCCTGCAGTCGTTTCTGAGGCTTATTATCCATGCAGAAATGTATCCGTATTATACAGAGCACATCCAGTAATTTGGAGACATTGGCAGTGGTAAAATCAATTAATAGTCACTTGCGAACAGTTAGCAGACATTCTTATCATGTAAGAACAAACTTTGTGATCTTGTCAGGGTTGTAAGGCGTGTTGTTACCCAATTGACACCCGGGTAATGTAAAAAACAGTTCCCGAAAAAAACCTGTCGGCCGTCTGTCAGCCGACTGTTAGCCGTTTGTCGTAGTGAGATCGAATCACGTGGAGTGTTCGCTTACCGGAGGTTTAATAAAAGCAATAGAAATTTGAAACTGTCAGCCCTAAAAGAGGTTACTGTCACCTTACGAGAGGTAGTCGCATTTGAGCTGTTCCAACTATATATAATGATTTGACAAGCAAAAGTTTGGTATTTTTGAGAAGTGGTCGCTTATAAAAGGTGTTACAGGGAGGTTCGCCTGTAAAATTTGCAGTTTTCAGTTACATCAGTAAGAATCACTGTTTCTTAGCAAGGAGTTTTCTTATACTCATCGCGTAGAATGCCTATTGTTCTCGGGACATTTACTTGCAGTCGAATAAAAATTATAGGTCTGTA